TTTTTTTTTTTTTTTTTTTTTTTTTTGTCTGGTTTGTTACCAACACATCTATGATTTCATGATTCGTTATAATGTAATCCTCATTCTACATTTATAAATAGATGAGGTCGTGACTATACAGCTCACAGTGTCATTCAACCTAATACGGGTATTCTGCTCTCGGCCTACTACTAGATCTACCGCCCGGATCGAATTATTAACCGGATAAAGAAGTTTGAGGATTACAATGGGTGGAGTTGAAAGTTGACCTAAGCCAATCTAGTTTTCACAGTTAGATGAAAAGAAAAGTCCCACCTAATATAAGAAATGATCATGAGTTTTTAATCAAATAATACAATATATGTTGGTACATAGGCATTTTGGAAAAACTCAAAGCAAAGTCACGAGAACTTATGCTAAAAGTGGATAATATCATACTATTGTGGAGAGTGTGTTTATCTAACATGGTATTAAAGTCATGCCCTAAACTTAGCTATGTCAATAGAATCCTCAAATGGCGAACAAATAACTCCAAAAGAAGGCTCCTCGAAGGCATAGTAAAAAATGACTAAGACTCAAAAGAAAAGGAGTCGAGGCTCGATTAAAAGGAGGTGTACTTTGTTCGAGGGGAGGTGTTGGATGAAAAGAAAATTCCCACATCCCTTAATTTATGGTTTATAATCAAGGAATACAATTTCCATTGGTATGAAGCCTTTTGGGAAGCCCAAAGAAAAACCATGAGAGTTTATGCTCTAAGTGAACAATATGATACTATTATGGAGAGTCGTGTGCTAGTTTTCAAGTACCTAATATGACTCTCGTGTATGGTAATGTGTTGACTTAAGCTTATGGGAATGACACGTTGCTAGAAATATAACTTATGTTACTGTACGATCATGAACCTTGTGTTATGTTACAAGATTAGGGTGTGCTACACCTTAGGGTTAGCCCATGAATTTAAGTACTAAGATGCTACTCTAGGGCCATAAACCACTGTTACCGGACGCCTGCCATGTTTAATAGGTTATCTTGCCTCGGGTTATTATCAGCGTGTCCTACCCATGTCTTAGGATGTCCTGACAACTTTTCTCACCAGATGATATGTTTCACGTTCATGATATTCACCGACCACGTGACTTTATTTGTCTTCCATGGGGAGTAGTCTAGGGACATGTTTGGGACAACTAACATAACTCATGACCACAAGCTAAGAAACCAGGTTAAGTTCCCGGTTAGAACAAGATTGTATACCTTAACACTCACCATAGTCACGATCAAAAGCCTACAAGTAAGTTGCTTACTAAATCTTGTACTCACTCCATGTTTTCCATGCTTTTCAAGTAATTAGGAGTTGATCGGGAATGAGAGCGAGATCTAAAACACGAGCTATAGAGAGCTACACCCACAACCTCTAAAATTATTGTGTTGTTTTATTGGTTTTTTTAATGGTTCCTCGTGGATTTTGAACACGTAAACTATACTTTTGTTTGGAATTTTAAATATATATAAATCCACGTGCCAACAACTTGATAGTTTAGTCGAGTGGTCTAAGACGCCAGATTTAGGCTCGGTTCGGAAAAGGGTTTTTTGAATTTATAAAATTTAACTGGAAAATTAAAACTCAATGCCCGCAATCCACACCCTACTGCTGGGGTCGCCTTCCTCCTCACTGACATTAGCCATCGGTTCTGTTTCTTTTTCCCGCCATTTCAAGCCTCGACCAAGCTTTTGTGCTCTCTCTTTCACGCACAATTCTCCTTTCTCTTTCTAGGTTCACTTTAATCTCGAAGCGCCAAAGAAGATGCTGTGGGTCGACAAGTATCGTCCAAAAACCCTAGATCAGATCACAGTTCATGAAGATGTAGCACAGAATCTTAAGAAACTGGTAACCAAATTTCGTTGTTGTTTTCTTACCTCTTTTTTCCTTGCATTCCTGAATTCATACTTCAATTTGGCGCTTTTGATGCGTTTTTTCTTTTAATCTTCTCGTAGGTTACCGAGCAGGACTGCCCTCATTTGCTCTTCTTTGGCCCCTCTGGTTCCGGAAAGAAAACCCTAGTCATGGCGCTTATCCGGCAGATGTTTGGAGCAAGTGCGGAGAAGGTATTGGCTCTTGAGTTTCTGTTTGCTTGCTGGCAATTTCTTTTTTCTGTCTGTTTGTTGTAGTTGATCTTCGCTTACCTTTTGGCTGCAGGTGAAGGTGGAGAATAAAACCTGGAAAGTTGATGTAAGTTTCCGTTTTTTAGTGATGCCATTGGAAGGCAATTGAAAGCAATTTAGTTATCTGTTGATGTGATTGCTACTTCAGAATGTTATAGAATTGCGTAAAAATTTAACTAATTGAAGCTGTTCATTTGCTGTTTAACTTAATTTTCTCATAATCTCTTCTTTCTCTGTCTCTATGCCCTTCCTTTTTCGTTTTTCTTCTCAGGCTGGAACTAGAAATGTTGAAATAGAGTTAACCACCATATCAAGTACAAACCACGTCGAGCTCACTCCCAGCGATGCAGGTTTCCAAGATAGGTATATTGTTCAAGAGATAATCAAAGATATGGCGAAAAACAGACCCATTGACTCCAAAGGGAAAAGAGGACATAAAGGTGTTGATTCTTCCCCATACCCTCCAACCACATTTATAAGCTGATCATGCTTGAGAACTTATTGATTTTCATTTATCATTTGGTAGCTTTTGTTACCAGTATGCTTGAATGCTCAAGACTTTGTATATGTATAAGATATTGAGATTTTTGGTGCTTGTGATGTATCAGTTTTGGTTCTAAATGACGTTGACAAACTATCCAGAGAAGCACAGCACTCTCTTAGGAGAACGATGGAGAAATATAGCTCGTATTGTAGGTTAATACTTTGCTGCAATAGTTCATCAAGAGTAACTGAAGCAATCCGTTCTCGCTGCCTAAATGTGCGGATAAATGGACCAACAGATGATGAGGTCAGGAGAGTGGTTTCTTTGTATTGTAATTTTAACTTTTTGTGCTGACTATGAATTTGAGTAAACTAAATGGACCAGAAGCATGTAATTATAAATGTTATGTTCTAACCAACGTGATAAATTTCACTTGTATCTAATTTAATATTTAGATGTAAGTTTAGGTGAAAAAATGCCTTTTCAGATAATAATAATAAAAAGAAAGAAATACTGTAGCCATTTGGACCTAAAAGCTGTTAAAAAAAAGTTACATCTTTTCACCAGATCGTCAAGGTACTAGAGTTCATTGGGAAGAAAGAAGGACTGCAACTTCCATCTGGATTTGCTTCCCGCATTGCAGAAAAATCAAACCGGAGTTTGAGGAGAGCTATACTATCATTCGAGACTTGTCGTGTTCAACAGTTAGTCTCCATTTGGACTCATACTGATCCAAGCTTCTCTCTCACTGCTTGTCATCAAATTACATTGGACATCAATCTTTGAGGATTGGTACTGAGCTGTTTATTTATTTTATCTTTTGGGTTAGGTATCCTTTTGTTAGTAACCAGGCAATACCGCCGATGGATTGGGAGGAGTACATCTCTGAGATAGCGTCTGACATAATGAAGGAGCAGAGCCCCAAGAGGTACTTCTCTTATGTACCTTTTTCTGTTGTATTTTATGCTATAACAAACATCTCAATATCATATACGTGTGGCTTCCCTTCATATACATTAGTTGGGTACTTCTGACACCCCATTTGCTATGCAAACGATAATGAAACTGCTTTTGTTTCTTAAAATCTTCTGTCCAACTATTCTTCAAGAACAAATAATTACATGGAGATAAACAATCCTTAAACTTCTATTGATGGTATCCTTGATTATGATGACCTTTTTCTGGTTGGATGATGGTGGTAGCGTTTCCTGTTCACCATTAGAACTTAGAGTTACCTCTCTGATACTTCACCTTTTTTAGTCGACATTGAATTTCTTTTTTGAACAAGAAACAACTTCTCATTAATATAATGAAAGGAAATGTTCATGGGATACAAACTCCTAAAGGGGTGAAAACAGAAAAAGAAAAAGAAAAATCAAGAACATAGCGGCAATTACAATCAAATAAAGATCAGCCCTGGGAATAATAAAACTACAAATGCTTCATGCATTATTAAAAGCTTCTCATCCACTAGCTCATCCATCGAGACATCTTTTAAATGCTCTTCATGCAAATAAGTTATAATAACTTCCTCAGTTAAAGGTCACTTAAATCGGAATTTGACTTCATCCCTTAACCAACCAAAATAAATGTTATATGAACTACCTTTTTTCCAACGAATGCATTAAGCACGGGAACATACAATGCTACCTTGGAATTCCACATGAATTTAATGAGCTTTGAATAAACAATATCAACATTTGGCTTTTGTAGAAGAACCAAGTTAGGACCACGGTGCTGCTGAAACTTCTTCAAACCCCCATGTGTTCTAGGATAGAATTTTCATTGAATCACAAAGGATAATTATTGAAATCATCTCACAATCTGACATTTACAGCCAACTGTTATGAAATCTGAAAGGGAAAGACCTCCAAACAAAACTTCCAGCTTCCAAAAGTAAAGGAAAGTGGTTAAAAAAAAAAAAAAACGAGCTTGTCTTGGTACCCTTGAATTTTCAAACAACTGGTCCCGTTCTTTTAAAACAAGAAGTCTAGATCAGTTTTCTGTCAAAAACTTCAATCTTGGTCTCCTAAATTAATACCAAATATGGGCAGTGAAGCCGAATAAATTTCTTCAAAGCTGTTCTTTTAGAATGATCCCCAAAGCCTCTAGTATTCCATGATATAACTTTCATTGTTGAAACTCACAATAGTTAAACAAATTTTAAAAATCAATTGGGGATGTTGGAGGGATACTACGAATTTGAAGACCACAAATTTTAATTAAAGGAAAATTATTCTTTGAATTGTTGGTGGAGGAGGAGAAGTACGTACTTGAAGAGTTTCACAAGTAGCTGAATTTGTTACTGGAGGCTCATTCTCATTACCCTGAAAAAGAGGACCTAAAGTCTCTGCGTAAGAGTCCTCCAAAAAGCAATCATTATCAGCCCCAAAATTCTGAGGCTTCAAGAGTTGAGACTGTCTCCACACTACTTAAACTAACATCAGATTCCCCATCCAAATCGATCGAAGGTGATGAAGGCACATGAGAACCTGCTCTGGACCAGGAAGGTTGATATCTGATTTAGATGAATGTTGGAAGCTCAATTTTCAGAGGACATTTGACTCACATTTGCTGAAGAATGGACTTGATTTGGCACTGTTATTAGAAGTCATGAACATGATTCCTCTAGAACATCTTCATTAAAAGCTGACTTTTCTAGAATAGGGAACATAAGAGGAGCCGACTCTTTCTTCCGAGTGTAGTGAAATGGATAGACTTCATTAGATTGTTTTTTCTCTTCTCGAAGATTTCGAGGACTTAAAGCCTCAATAGGTGTAGAAATAACTGATGAAATTGAGAATTTGATGAGTGAAGATTCCTAATCCTTGTTCAACATGTCCTTGACCTTTGTAAGGCAGCAATGGAGGACCTCGATCATCTTTGGTAGTCTTGTGATTATGATTTGGCAGTCTGGAATTGTTTATTTCAACCCTTCGGCATCAATGTGGTTGGGCTTAGAGTTTGTCATTCTATGGAGGAGTCTTTGCTTCATCTCCCCTTTAGTAAAAAAAAGGCTTGTTTTTGTGGATAACTGACATTTATGCTTTGTTATGGGGTCTTCGTGGTGAGAGGAACAATACAGTTGTTGAGGAAGTGGAGCGTTCTAGGGAGGAAGTTTGGTGTTCCACACTTCCCTTTTGGGTTCTGTGTATAAGGATTTTTGTAATGATCTATTAGGTATTATCTTGCATGATTGGAGCCTCCTTGACTTTTGTTTTTGTCAAGCAGAGAAAAAACTATATAATTGTGAGAAATTGCAATTGTCCTATTCATTTAATTGTCCTAATCATTTAATTGTCCATTAGAAACATATATGGTGAGAACTAGTGAAAATTTTAATTTTTCTATTCTTTTTTTATTAGCTAGTTGTAGAATTGTGCGAGTTTGAAATAAATTGGCCTTCTTTTTTGTGGTATAGACTGTACCAGGTTCGTGGGAAGTTATATGAACTACTGGTTAATTGTATTCCACCAGAGATCATATTGAAGGTAATTATTCTTTCCCAATTTCTATTGATTTTTTCTGTCTTAATGTGAGATTCATATTATCTAGTTTCTCAGAGGCTGCTTTATGAGCTGCTCAAGAAATTGGATGCTGAATTAAAGCATGAGGTCTGTCATTGGGCTGCATATTATGTAAGTTCATAATTTGACCTGTCAATTTATTTATATTCTCTTTTATTATTTAATATCAGAACTTTTGCTGGAAATTTGAATATCAATCTCATTAAAATAACTTTTGTCCTCTCTGTCTTATGACGAGTTCTCCAAGTTTTCCTTGTTTTGCAATTTCTGGACCTTTTTCGTCAAAAGTAACTAGCGGATTACATCCTCCTAGACTTGATAGAATAAGTGTATATGAACATATATTTGTAGTTTTGTAAAATTAAATAATGTTCTTTACTTTTGAAAGAAACACCAATCAAGTGTTTCCTCCAAAGTACTTTAAGCATTTGTGTGTTGGAACTTGGTGAATACCGATGTGAGATCTCACATTATGATGGATATAGATAATAGCAACGAAGAGAAATTTTTTAACCATATATGTCTCTGTTCTTTTTTCCTCTTGATGGTTCTATTAATCTGTATAATTTCAACCATGTTCTTTTAACTTAATTCCTATGCCATGGCTAATTTGTTACTAATGACGTCTGGTCAAATTGCCATCACAATCACGTAAGAAGAGTTATCTACTTAAGTTTGTGTCATATTGTGAACACTATAACGGCGGGCCATAGATCCACATGCATTGGTTCACCAATATGATATCACTGATGAAACATGGCTGCAGAGAGTTTCAGCTTTATTCAGTTTCATTTCTCATCTTTGCTTAAATCTTTTCCCAGGAACACAGGATGCGGCTTGGCCAGAAATCCATCTTCCATATTGAAGGTAAATCCATTTGGTATTACAAATATCAGAGTAACTGTTCTGACATGAAAAATTTACGCCTCTCTGCTTATTTTTACCTCTGATTATTCTATTAGTTATCAGCCACGATCTTAATTTCATCATCAAGTGCTGGATAATATCATACAATTTAATGGTTTGTTGAATCATGGATGGATTTGAGTCTTCATGTTCTTGACATTTGTGAAAAGATTTCTCGTTCTCAACCTTTTATAGACTCAACTGGAAGAAGCCAAAAAAAAATTCTGTCTCTCAGTTTTTAATCTCTCTTTTGGTCTGATATGGCAGCTTTTGTGGCAAAGTTCATGAGCATATACAAGAGTTTCCTCATTTCAACGTTCGGCTGAGGAAAAGGCAATTGAATGTTCGTAGTTTTAGCGTGTCGGTGAATCAAGACAATCTGGTGCCATCTTATGTTCTTCAGTCAGTTTTGTTTGGCACTAGTTTGTTTGTTCATCATCCTTTAGGTTTTATCTATCAGGGAACTTGAAGCTGAACTCTTAGGGATTTGAACTGAATCTAACATGCCAAAAAAATGGAAATTTATGTAGTCATTTTGTTGCACTATCTCCCGGAGATAATGGGGAAAAAATTGGAAAATCCCAACCTTATTTGGCTGTGTTTTCCATCTGTGTTTTCATTGCTTCCACTCAAAAGTTTGAGGTTAATTTTGTTTTGAATTTTCATTTGAATTCAACTATCAATTTTAGATATTGATGATAAAATAGAATTTTGGGTCTCGAACAGTGATTCAATTGATAATAAAGAAAGAGAATTCTTGGTTCAGTTCTCTATCTTAACGATAGATTAAATTCTATTGAGTCTGACTCATAGTGATCATTTATCAAAGAATGACGGTGGTTATTAAATGATTGAACGACCGGAAGTAATTTACTTACATATTTTTAAATTTGATTACAACTCAATTTCGATGTATATTTTTTTAAAAAATTATGTTATAAATACTTAGTGGTTGGTTGGATAATAAATAATTGAAAAAATAATTATGAAATTAAATAAAATATAAATTTAGGTTGGTTAAACAGATAAACAATCAAACTTAACTCAATTAAGGAATTTTTTAAATATCTCTAATATTTGTTTCTAACCTAAAAATATTTTTTAACATAGCATTTTCATATTACCACATTATTAAAAGTATAATAATAATAATAATAATAATAATAATAATAATAATAATAATAATAATAATAATAATAATAATAATAATTAATTGAAAAACTTTTAGTATAAAATGAAAATTGACATGCTTTAAGCCCAAAAATGTTCAAAAGAATTTCCTTAGAAATTCCATCGATTCTCGAATTGAGAGGATCGGGACTGCTACCTACGCTCCGCCATTTTTCTCTCCCACCATTCTCTTCGTTGATTGGATCAGGTTTCTGCAACTCCGTCTAGGGTTTGATATTCTCAAGTCTAATACTCCATTATTATTCAAGTTCAGTCAAGAAAAATCTGAAGGTAATTCTGTCTTTCGACTATTTCCGGCTGAAATTTCACCATGGTTCTTATCCGTGCCCTCGTATGGATTTTCGCCGTTCGTTTAATAATTGAGAATTTCTCGGAATCTAGACGCGCTTTTATTCCTGTTCCCGTTCGAGTTTTCATGTATGAGAAGGAAGGTTGAGAAATCGTTGTGATAGTGTAGGGTTTTGGTTATCTTGTGGTGAAGCTATTGCTTGATTATTATCTATTTTGTATATGTATTATTACTATTAATTTTTTTTGGTTGGAGACGTTTGTTTGTTGCGTTTTATTGATTCATAAAGTGACTGTTTTAGTTTGTTACGCTCGGAGACTGTTTGTTTAACGCTGACTTATTTCATTATTGGGTTTCAGGTCTGCCAACGTTGATTAGGCTGGAAGTCTGATTTAAGCTTCGTCGAATAGGGAATTTTAGGTTGAAAAAGGAGAAAGTTCCTTCTTTTCGGTCTATATTTTGCTTCTGGAAATTTAGCTGAGTAACAATGTCGGTCACTGCGGGTGTTAGTGATACTGTAATTGCTGTTAGGGATAAACTTAGAGGTAAAATTGGACAAACAAAAGTTAAGAGGTACTGGCCTGGAAAGGCACCTGAGTGGGCGGATGATGCTGATGAAGATGGCGATATTAGGATGTCCAGGGTGGCAGCGCTTGAGAAAGCATTTCCAAGTCGGGAAGATTCAGATCTTTCTAAGAAGGACGACCCTAGGTTGCGTCGTCTAGCTGAGAGTAGGATAGATAATCGGGAGGAGATCAGAGCTGATCATCGACGTATTCGCCAAGCTGAGATTGTTTTGAACATTGAAGAGGAAACTCGAAGGCAGGAGGGAATAGATGCAGAGGAAGAGGATGAGGATGCTTTGGAGGAAAGAAGAAGAAGAATCAAGGAAAAGTTGCGACAAAGGGAGCTAGAAGAAGCTGCATTCCCTATAGAAGAAGAGGAGGAGGAACCAGAGGAAGAGGAAGAAGAGGAATCTGAATATGAAACTGACTCAGAAGATGAACCTACTGGTATAGCAATGGTGAAGCCAATATTTGTTCCTAAGTCAGAGAGAGAGACAATTGCTGAACGAGATCGTATTGAAGAGGAGGAAAGGTCTCTTGAGGAATTGAGAAAAAGGAGATTGGAGGAAAGGAAGGCAGAGACAAAGCACATTGTGGTTGAGGAGATTAGAAAGGATGAAGAGATCCAGAAGAATTTGGAAATGGAGGCAAATATTGCAGATGTAGATACTGATGATGAAATTAACGAAGCCGAAGAATATGAGGCTTGGAAGGTTAGAGAGATCTCGAGGATCAAGAGGGATAGAGAACTCCGAGATGCAATGTTGAAGGAGAGGGAGGAGATTGAGAAGGTGAGAAATATGACTGAGGAAGAGAGGAGAGAATGGGAGAGGAAGAACCCGAAACCTGCTCCACCTCCTAAGCAGAAGTGGAAGTTCATGCAGAAATATTTCCACAAGGGTGCATTCTTTCAGGAAGATGCTGATGATAATGCTGGCACCGCAGGATCTGATTCTATTTTCCATCGTGATTTCTCTTCCCCAACGGGAGAAGATAAGATGGACAAGACAATATTGCCCAAGGTTATGCAGGTCAAGCACTTTGGTCGTAGTGGGAGAACAAAATGGACTCATCTTGTCAATGAAGATACAACTGACTGGAACAACCCGTAAGTTGATTTAACTTCGTTTACTTTCTGCTTCTCAATTTCCTATCTTAAAGTATTGCAATGTCAATTGTTATTTCTTAATTGAGTATCCCTTTTATACCTAGATTAACTACAATACGATCCATTAAAAAAAACATCTAATGCCTTGTCTACTCATTGAGATTGTGTTAAGTAGAGATTGATGAAAATAATTTGGGTATGAGCATGAGGTTAATGGACGTGCTGAGCTTAATATTTGAGATTGAGGCTTTTAGTTTATATATATCTACTGGAGAATATGAAGATATGATTACAACGATGCCCTGTTTCCAAGGGGTCTTCTCTGTTTGTTTGTTTTTTTTCTTTTTCCATTGTTAGCGTGGTTGTCATGACACTTCAATTGTTACTGTCAATGTCATGCAGTTGGACCTATAACGATCCTCTTCGGGCAAAATACAATGCAAAAATGGCTGGAATGAATGCGCCAATTGCGAAGCCTAAAGGAAGCAAGAAGTTGAAGGATTGGGAATCTCGTTGAGTTTTAATGGCGTAAAGCACGGTTAGGAAGCTTTTCCAGTTATCCCTTTTTCATTGTTCAATTAGAAACAAAAAAAATTGCTTGCTTAATGGGTTTACCAAGTTATTTAAGCACCCATCTTTTCTTTCAAACTAGAAATGTACCTGGATTTTGTATGCTGATGTAATATAGTTACTCATTAGTCATTATGTTTCCCCTTGCAGTTGTTTTTTGGTAGGTAATTCTCGTTATTTACATAATATGTTTTATCCACAAAAATGTTTCAATTGAACTCTTCCGAAATTCTTAAGCTTTTCCTTTTAACTATCGAAATCATCACAAACCTCCCTTTTTCTTTTCTATTGCAGTTTCTGGATTATTATATATACGATAATTTTTTAACTTTCCATATATATAGAAATAGAAACGTAAGGACGGTTCCAATATTCAATCTTCAGGTAATAAGATGTATAGGGACACATCGAAAATGCCATATAAATAAACCTTAGCCTCTCTACAACGCTAGAGTATTATCTATGCTTTTGTTTTCATCATCAAAAAGACAAACACTTCAATCTGATGGTGAGATCTATTCTCTTATTTTGATCTCAGGATCAAAATCTTGAATGAATTTGTAGTATTAATTTGATTATTGTTCTTTAAATTTTATCTACGATCTCATTAATTAATAATTTGTGTATATTTGTTAATTCTCTATTTTGTTCCTTTTATCTTTTGAGAAAGGGATTGCTGACCAGAACAAAAATGGATGCTGTGGATGTAAGAGGAGGGGTCATGCATATATCCACATACTCTTTTAATGTCGCTAATAGAAAGGTTGGTAGTTAATATAAGAATGACTTTACTGGTAAGGAATGAGAACCCTTATCTTCATTTTTACTGTTCGTGTTGATCAAGGATGAATTCTTATTTACTTGTGGATTCTAAGCATAATTCTGGATTTTGAATAGTGATTAAAAAGGTGAGGAATTATCATCTCTTATCCTTATTCTAACAACGATTTTAAGGATTTTCTGTTCTGCTAGAGATGTGTCCTCTTGAAGTTTTGTGTCATCTTTACTTTTATAGCAGGATTTTTAGGGATGTAGAGGAATTTAGAGAGAGGGTAGGTTCGAGTTGGTCACTAGAACGACTTTGTCTATTTGGACATTGGGCTTTTTAGTTGGTCATTAGCCTAAGTATCTATTCAAAAGAATTGAGTCTCATTGTAATTGCCGAAACCCACCGCTAGCAGATATTGTTTTCTTTAGGCTTTCCCTTCCAGGCTTCCTCTCAAGATTTTTAGAACGCGTCTGCTAGGGAGAGGTTTACACACCCTTATAAAGAATGATTTGTTCTCTGGGGTGGGATCTCACCCTCATGATCTTGGAATACGTGGGGGGAGAATTGTCTATATTTGCATTATACTTTATTTACTAATAATGGTTATTGTGTGATTCATTCTCACAATGTACAGCATTAAATAAAGCATTGAGGGAAACCAAGTTTCAGTAAGAAACTAGGACATACAAACTGAGCCCAGCAAAAAGAGCCAAACTAGACTAGCATTTGACAAATGCAAGTGTCGAACATTTAAAAAAAAAAAACTCTTTATTGATCTCTGTTCTTTAACTTCCCAGAATATTATTCATCTCTCTTGTTCATCCCAACCCATTTTAAATGAGTGAGTGTGTAACAGTTTAATCTCACTGCTAGTAGATATTATCTTTGGGTTTCGGGCTTCTCCTCAAGGTTTTTAAAACGTGTTTGTTAGGGTGAGTTTTCCACACCCTTACAAAAAATGCTTCATTCTCCTCTTCAACTGATGTAGGTCAGATGTGATGTTTTGTAGATGTGTTATGTTTTGTTCATGTTTACATAGTTTCTTACCCTTCTTGTTATTAGAAAGGTTGGTTGGTTAGATTTTTCTAATAGCTTGAATTCCAGAAAGAATA